CTGTACACACAATCACACTCCCCAAGCGTACTTTAAGCCCCAGATCTAGGTAGCAGGGAGGCCCCACATTCCAGAGCCGATTGGGCAGCCAGCTCCTCCTCCCAGACCCCCTGCTCCAACAGGCTTTGTAAACAGTACATTACACCACTGAACCCCCTTAGTGGTGCTAGTTTGCCTTGATGGATAAATGTTGGATAAATATTATGCCTACTGGGAGGGGCAATGGAGTATAAAGGGTATCAGGGTCTATCTGGGACTCTGTGTGATGGTTACGGTCAGGGTAACATGTAGGCTGGTTCAGCCACTTGAACTTTTTAAATAGAATATTTTCTTTTTGGTTTTTGATTAAGTTACTTGTTATTCTTTTTGTAAATAGTCCCTTGTGCACTTAGGAGGCCGGCATAATAAAGTGCACATTCAGAACCCTTCCTGACTACGCCTATATTTGTTCGGGAGAAGTTTATGAGAGGACCCTGCGACAGTGCCTAACTGATCATTTATAAAGTGTTGCTCATCCTTGGTGTGTAATTTATAAATAAATATATAAATGTTTATTCTTGATTAATAAACTCATATATAACTTGTTCATGGTAAAATGTACAAAGTCTAAATAAGTGATGCAAGTATTTAGAAGCACATTTATATATATAATGATTAAGATATAAGTGCATTGTTTGTGAGTGTGTTAATGGAGGTTTTATTAATACTTATTACTTATAATTCATAGTTAATTCAGGCACTTCCTAGTTGTTAAGTATTTTGTTTGACCTCATGTAAACGGAGTGCCGTATAAAGCATTAATGAAAATGAAAGTGCCTTAAGACTCTAGCAAGTCTCAGTTATCCTTACAACAGAAAAATTGTGTACATATAGATATTTATTGCCAGATGGAAACGTAATCCACCTGAGGTTTACAGAATACTTAGTTTAAAAGTGAGGTTTGAAAGAAGACTGCAATGCTAATGCATAAAAAAACAGCACAACTGTAAGGCTAGTTAGCCACATTAGCTCAGCTGAGCTAAATGGGGGGGGGAGCAATCTTTGCAGGGCATGTTTAATGGTGGGCTATCAGTTTCTACTTTTAACTATATTTTAGTAACAGCTCCTTCATGGAAATTCTTAACTTCATTGTCTTGAAAGTTTATTAAAAAGAGCAGTTAAAGCTAGAAAAAACTACACATTTTTATTAACTAGATAACACAACCTACTTAAACAACCTACATACCTGCTTTTCTTCTATTGATGGATTTTTAGAATGATTGTCTTCTTTTTCCTCAAAACTGTTATGATATATTTAAAAGGTAACATTTACTGAGATGCTAATTAATATACTAGCTATATTCACAAGTGTGGAAATAGTTAGCTAACTTTTGATTTTTGAGAAACATTGATTTTTTTGGTATTAAGCATATGATACAATTGTATCAGAGCTAGAAAAACAACACAGCTAAGTAAATCAATGTGTTTAAGAAACACAGCCAAAGTCAACGCCATTATTAGTTATAAAATAGAAAGTGGCTCAAGCTGAATGCTCTTCATGTTCAAGTTAACTTAAATGTTAACATTTAAACAAATTTTATTGTAGTGAATTCATACACATTTCAATACATAGAAGACAGCAGTTTTATATTTCCAGACTATGGACACATTCATTTACTGGATTTGAAATCTTTATATAGCAGATGTTAGTCAAGTCACTCCGCATTATCTCTGTAGTATGTTGATCTCACTGCTGTTAGCCTTTAATATCTGCAGAGTGATGATAAGTTTAACAGCATTTCTAAACCAGGGGTAAAACAGTGCATACATTAATGGGTTTAGGCAAGAGTTAAAATAATAAACAATGAGGATAGAAGATGCAGAAGAAGCATTAACTTCATTGCCTGCAAGAAAAAAGTAGCAGTAAAATGGACAGTAGCACGCCAGAAAAACTACTACAAGAATCCCAAGGTTCCTGGCTGCTTTCAGCTCAGATTTGTTTGCTTGATTCAGTGGACGCTGAAGTGTAACAGCTGTAACATGAGAGCGCATGGCACGAGCCTGAGACACAACCACCACAAACACTCTCGTATACAGAACTACGATGATCGTAACTGGAACTATAAGAGATACAACAAAGTCAACAATTCCAATAATATCATCAACAACAAAAACACACTCTCCATAGCAGGAACCATACCTGCCTGGGTTTATCAGGGCATGCTTTGTATAGATGATGTTGTACAAAATAGCATAAAACCAACACAGAAAAACACAGAGTTTGACTCTCGGCACAGTGATTCTGGTGGGGTAATGCAGAGGGTCACAAATAGCCACATAGCGGTCAATTGATACGAGAATAATCATTTCAAACGAAGCATTGATAAGAATGCAGCTCAGATAAGTATAAAGTGAACACATGAGATCACCAAATACCCAGCAGGCTGTGTTTTTGAAGATTTCTACCGGCATCAACAAAAAACAGACAAAAAAGTCAGAGACAGCCAGAGAGAGGATGATGATGTTACTGGGAGTGTGGAGCTGCCTGCAGGGAGACAGAAAATCATAAATTACACATTAGTCATGTCAAAATATCTTCAATGAAGATGTTCCATTAGAGGCATGGTGCAATTAAGCAACTAAAACAGTCATGATGAAGTACACACATTCATTAATTACTTAACTAATTTACTAACTAATTACTAAACTTGATTTTCTAAAAGTTGAACTTTAGTTTCATCTGAGAAGTTAATCTCTGCCTGAAGTGGGAGACCGAGATGATGATGAACAGATTAAGAGCAGCAGTGATCAGAGAGATGGACGAAAGCCCAACGTTCAGGAGCACCGTTTTGGACCAGTGAAGTGTTGGCTTCCTGCAGGAACTGTTCAGTAGCTCTGGAAAACAGAGCTCTGCCTCTGGATGCATCTGGATCTCCATCATCAGGTTCCTGCAGCTGTCTAATCCGAACTTTCTGTCATACAACAAATTTATCTCCTTCTACCATACCTCCCATCCACTGTTGTGCTCCCTGGAGACTGATATCCTCCCTCTTTTTGTGCACACAACCTCTTGTACTTTTCACTTTTGATTTCTCCGTCTCCCATCCAAACATATCTATCACAATTAAAACCAGAAGATTTACATTTTAATGGCCAAAACTACAAACTTGGGCCTAAAAACAATCATCTACAAATCAGCCATCCAATTGTCTTTGTTCTCCTTTTACAATCAGTATGTAAGAGTTAAGATGAATATTTTATGCAGCACCTAATCCAGATAAGCTGAATACACACAGGCAATCAATACAATCCTTGACTTATGGCACAATTAATCTGTTCTTACTGTGTAATTGATGCTTATGTTAGTTTCATTTATAATCAAGATACCTAAGTTAGTGTTGTTCCAACAAAACTGACATCATACAGTTTCATATGATGATGTTATAACATATATACAAAACCTCCTAGCACTGAGATTTCAGTCATTCTGTAATCAACTGTTGTCTGTGATTACGCTTGTGGGACATGACATGAACAATAAATGTTGACTTACAGGCACTTCTATTTGATTGAATCTTGAAAATGTGCACCCTTACTTTAAAAAATATAAAGGAAAAAAATGCAGCTCTCTGTAAAATGTAAAAAAAAGAAAAAAAAACACAGAATGCAGGGTGCTTGTTGATTGCTTGAGCAGGCAGCCTGTATGACAAAAACCTACTGCCAAGGCCTGGATTTGACTCCACACCAGGCTATTTGTGTGGCTAAATGCCAAAAACATTAAAAAGAAAACACAAATTGCAATAATTTGTAAACCTCATAAATACAATTTGTATTCCCGAAATAACATAAAAAATACACCAAATATTTAAAAAGAGGACATGGAACTTTTTTTGCTTGCCCTGTCTCGCAGTGCAGCAATCAGAATTGTTGAAAACACACTGAACATCTGCTTCAACGCCTGTTAAAAAGAAACAACACAGCAGGCAAACCATAGCAACAACCAACATATGCATAAGTACCAGTAAATAATAAATATTAAATGTTACTGAGCAGGACAGAGTATTAATGATACATGACATGTTTAGAGACAGCGGTCGACCAAGATATTGTGAGTCTGTATCTGTGTGCAAATCTGTGCGTGGGAGCATGCTTGTGTTCATGAGGTTTCTCCATTTAAGTATCTAATAGTATGTGGGGGGAACATTGATCAGTTTCAATATGATGGCAGCAACACGTCTCTGGGAAAGGGCAATGTTTACTATGTGTTGCATCCCCTCTTTGTTTCGCAAAAGTCCATAAACAACAGAGAAGTGAGGAGACCTCTGGCTGTTATTTACTGAGGAAAAAACTGCACAGAGGTTTATGAAAACAAGCAGTATGTGTGGAAAATAGTGCAGGAGACTCTGCAAGAGTTCAAAGAGAGGAGAGAAACACAACTACAAGAATCCCAGGAGTCCTGGGGTCCGTTCTTCGTACCTCGCTTACTACATCCAAGATCAAATGACACATCCAAGATCAAATCATCGCGCCAACTTTGAGCTCGCTATTCCGGTTCTCCGAACACACCTGTTGTTGATGATTAGTACAGCTGGATGAAGTAATGTGAGATCATTGGGTGGCTTAAAAGGGGCTACGCATCGATAGTAGAAACATTGATCGGCAACCCTTTGATTGGTCGGCGAAAATGTCGAAGGAGCGCGCTCAGTATTTTTCGGCATCAGAGCAAGAACTCTTGATTGAAGGATTTCAGGAATTTCAGGGTTTAATTAAAACGCAAGGGAACACTGCAAAGGCTGCAAAAGCAAGGAGAGAGGGCTGGCAGAAAGTTGCTGACAAATTAAACTCGTAAGTAATTTATTATATTATATTACATTACATCATATTATATTATATCATATTATATTATATTACATTATATCCTCTTTCACATTAGAGCCACAACAGGACCCACTAGAAACGTGCCACTCGCAAAGAAACGCAAGGCAATGCACACAGTTTGTGCAGTTGTTAATGCCCGACTACGGTGAGTGGAACTCTTAACATAGGGATCCAACAAGTTGGTTAAGTAAATAATACCCTCACGGGAAAATCGATATCTCTCTATGAGCACACTGTCGCACTGAGCTAAAGGATCCTGTCTATCCCGCAATATACGCTGAATTCTGAAAACTCTCCTTATCAATCTTGCACCTTCCGCAATGGGTTGCTCGCGTACAAACGGACAGGACATGGCTGCGACAGACTTCCCAAATCCACCTTCGCTTTTATAGCCGTGGTCTCTCATCTTGATTACAGGAAGTAATTTACTATTACTACTCTAAAATATGAATTACATCTGAAATAATCAAATGCATGAAATAGAATGATTAATAGTACATTTCCCTTTTTTTAGGGAATGACCTGTATGTATCTGTGTGAAATCAATAAAAGAATCAAATACTGCATTATCTTTAGTTATTTATCTTTATTTATTTATGGCAAACAGTGGAAAAATATCGCTGTTGCTTTCGTATAAATGAAGCGGACATACCTGAGTGGCCGCGATCTAATCCTGTTTACATAAAGTAAGCCTGCTCCCAAGCAGGTTTACGCTTATGGATCTGTTGCTATGACAGCAAGTCCCGGATGAGCTTCGGAGAACCGAACGATCCAAGATCACGCGAAATCATCAACAATCAAATCCAGCTAACTTACTTAGCAAGGTACGAAGAACGGACCCCTGGCCGCTTTCAGCTCCGATTTGTTTGCTTGATTCAGTGACATGAGACCACATGGCTCAAGCCTGAGACACAGCCACCAAAAACACTCAAATATAAACAACTGTGGTGATCAAAGGAGCTTGCAAAGAAAAGCATCTGGACTTCTTTAAGTTACTTGAAGACATTTCACCTCTCATCCGAGAAGCTTCTTCAGTTCTAAGGTCAAATGGTGGAGAGTCCCAGATATAAACCTAGTGGGAGTTTTCCCCCACAGAGGGACAAAAGGACCCCCTGATGATCCTCTAATTGCCTGAGCCAAGGTGTGAAACTGGGTGTGGGTCCCAATCAGCTAGAGTTTCGGGTGAGTTCATTGTGAAAGGGATACTTCCAGCTTCCTGCATGCGTGCAGTTATTTCTCTCATACCAAAAAAGGGGGATTTAACCCTTCTTAAAAATTGGAGACCAGTGGCCCTTTTATGTGCAGACCTCAAGATTCTTTCCAAGGTTTTATCAAACAGACTGAAAATGGTCATTGAACTGTTGATTGGTATAGATCAATCTTACTGTATTCCAGATAGGTCTATGATTGATAACTTATTTTTAATGAGAGATGAATTTGATATTCAATTATCAATTATTTGATATTTGTATTATTTGTACAATGCTAAAGTTGGCATCATATCTATTGATCAGGAAAAGGCTTTTGACCGTGTGGACCATGCTTTTCTTTTTTCCACCTTGAAGACCTTTGGTGTTTGGGCAGGGGTTTCTGACATGGGTGAAGCTGTTGTATAGCGATGCTTGCTGTGTTGTGAAGGTGGGAGGAGGGTTGAGTTGCCCTGTGCCAGTTCGGAGAGGAATTAGACAGGGTTGCCCTTTCTCTGGACTGCTCTATAGCATTGCTATTGAGCCTTTTCTCTGTAGATTGAGGAGCAAGTTGAGGGGTTTCTCTTTGCCAGATCTGGCTCAGAGCCCTCCTGTTGTTGTGTGAGCATATGCTGATGATGTTAATGTTTTTATTAGGATCAAAGGGATGTGCAGGAATTAAAGGAATGTCTGGTTTTATATGAAAATGCTTCTTTAGCCAGGGTTAATTGGGATAAGAGTGAGGCCTCTTTGGTGGGGCAGTGGCACATATTACTTGTTTTAGTGCCACCACCCGATCTTCTGGAAAGAGGTGCAGCAGCTTCTGGTGAAGTTTGTCTGGTCGGGTCAGCATTGGTTTCTTGCGGTAGCCCTGTATCTTTCTGTGGCAGAGGGGGGACAAGGAGT